CTGGTAAGGCCCACCCTTCCCGAGCCTTCCCCCATATCCTTTTCGTAAGTACGATGAAGATCCCGAAGACAGGATGACGACTTCATCATTTTGACCTGAAGCAGAAGTATGAAGGCATCAATATATTGGATTGACCTCTTCGAGAAGAGCAACCAACACCGAGAATATCCGTTAGAATTTCGTAACCAATCTCTTCCCCTTACTCCCCTCCTAAATCTCGGGATGAGATTTCTTGTAGTGGAGGAGAATTGTGACGCCCGGATAATTAAGCTATAGTAACCATCTACTAAGAATGCCACGTCACCACGATTACTGTTGTAGTTTCGCATTAGTTCGAACCGTTTCAAATTTAAAATTCTAAACAAGTCAAACGACAAAAGTTTTCAAAGGTCAAAACAAAAATGTTCGGGGGTTGCCAAATATTGCATAAGTAATTATGGTGTAGTGGGCACAATTTTACAAAATACCTAAATGCCCTAAAATGAAATAAAACAGAAATAAAATAAATAAAAGAAAGAAAATACAAAAGGGAAAAGCAAGCAGAAAAAGAAGAAGAAGAGAAAGACCCCCTGGCTTCCCCTGGGCTTCGGCCCATTCCATCGCACCCGGCCGACCCAGGTGGCCCAGCTGCCACCTCCCCACCGTTGTCACCTTCTCCCCACGCCCCCCCACTGTTCGTCCGACCGCGCCCGCTGTCGCCGACGGACCAGCTCGCCGCCCCGCGCCGCTACAGGCCCCGGAGAGGATAAGGGCGCCGACGCTGCGCCCCCTCGGGCTCCCCTCCCCACTTGCCCCTCGCTCTCCCACTCACTCTCTTCCCCCCTTCCAGATCTGCGGCGCCCGAGCGCGCCCATGGCTGCGCCGCCGTGCTAACCACGACTGTCGTCCTCCTCGCATCGCGCCAACGTGTCGTCGGTCTCCCTCGTCGCCCGCCTCGTCGTCCTCGACCGTCGATTTGAGCTCCGCAACGTCGCAGCGTCGTGGACGAGGTCGTCTTCTTCCTCCGCCTCGCCGCCGCTCCGTCCCCAACTCCGGCGACGCCCTCTGCAGCTACTAAGCCGCCAAGGGCCACCGTGTTGCCGCTCGGTGAGCCCCCGCTCCCTCCCCTCTCTCTCTCGACGCCGTTCTCTAGTTGGATGCGCCGCCCCCAACTTGCCCGAGTGCATCGTCGCACGCGCTCGTCGCCGGTAGCCATCCGGTGACCATTTGGTCCCGGGCTCGTGGCCGCTGTGCTCGCACGCGTCCGTAGAAGCCTCCTGGCCGTTTAGGGTACTTGTTGCCGTGCCACAACGCCATTTCCCTCTCGCGGCCGAACGCCAGCGTCCGCCCCGCTCACCGCCGGCGACGCTGCGACCCTCCTCCGACCAAGCCACCACCTCCATTGAATGCGCCACGGCGCGGGCCTTGGAATGGGCCTAGCCCCGCTCCTCCCCGAGCCCCGTAGTGCGATTCCGGCCAACCCCGGCGAGGGGGGCCGCCTCTGTTTGGGTCGCTGGAGTCGCTCCGGCGCCGACGCCGACGTGGCGTAGTGGCCCCCGCCTCTGTGTCGCTGACCAGTGGGTCCCGAGGGCCCCGTTGACTGGGTTGATCCAGTCAACGTGTTGACGTGGCAGCTACTGCCACTGACATGCGGGCCCCATGCCATAAAACAAATAAAAACAAATATATAAACTGCTAATTAATTAAGTTAATTAACTAAAACCTAGTTAGACATTGACTGTTGGGGCCCACCCACTAATTAACCCATTTAGTTAGACTAAACCCCCTGTTAGTGACCCTGACAATGACATGTGGGTCCCATTGGACCCACCTGTCTGGTTTGACTGGTCAACCGACCAGTTGACCTGCTGACATCACTCTGATGTCATGCCTGCGTCATCAGTCACTGTTTTGGATAATGTTAGAATTAAATAACTAATTAAAATCAGAAAATGATTTAAATCTTTAGAGAATCATATCTTTTAATCCGTAACTCGGATGAAAAAACTTTGTACATGAAAGTTGCTCTGAACGACGAGACGAATCCAGATACGCAACCTGTTCGTCTGCCACACACCCCTAACATATCAAACTCGCAACTTTCCCCCTCCGGCTCCTCTGCCCGAAAACGCGGAACACTGGGGATACTTTCCCGGTTGTTCCCCCCCTTCACCGGTATCACCTCATACCGTGTTAGGGCACCCCTAGCACCATTACTTGTCATGTCATGCATCGCTATGCATCTGTTTTCTTAAGTATTTATTGTTTCTTCCCCCTCTTCTCTCGCTAGACACCGAGACCGACGCCGCTGCTACCCAGTACGACTACGGTGTTGACGACCCCACTCTCTTGCCAGAGCAACCAGGCAAGCCCCCCTTTGATCACCAAATATCGCCTATTCTCCTCTATACTACTTGCATTAGAGTAGTGTAGCATGTTACTGCTTTCCGTTAATCCTATTCTGATGCATAGCCTGACATTGTTGCTACATCTGTTGATACCTTACCTGCAATCCTAAATACTTAGTATAGGATGCTAGTTTATCATCTGTGGCCCTACATTCTTGTCAGTCTGCCTTGCTATACTATTGGGCCGTGATCACTCGGGAGGTGATCATGGGTATATACTATACATATATACATACTATACAGGTGGTGACTAAAGTCGGGTCAACTCGTTGAGTACCCGCACGTGATTCTGATGTGGGGGTTGGAAGGATAGGTGGCTCCATCCCGGTAGAGGTGGGCCTGGGTTCCGACGGCCCCCGACAGTTACTTTGTGGCGGAGCGACAGGGCAGGTTGAGACCACCTAGGCGAGAGGTGGGCCTGGCCCTGGTCGGCGTTCGCGGTTGTTTCATAATAACACGCTTAACGAGATCTTGGTATTTGATCTGAGTCTGGCCACTGGCCTATACGCACTAACCAACTACGTGGGAAAGATATGGGCACTCGACGTCGTGGTATCAGCCGAAGCCTTCTAGACGTCAGCGACTGAGCGGCGCACGCCGGATTGGAACGTAAGCCTGCTCTTGTATTAAGAGGGCTAGTTCTGCTTTCGGCCGCCCACGCAACGTGCAGGTGTGCAATGGGCGATGGGCCCAGACCCCTGCGTCATAGGAGTTAGACCGGCGTGCTGACCTCTCTGTTAGGCCTAGGTGGGGCTGCGACGTGTTGATCTTCCGAGGCCGGGCATGACCCAGGAAAGTGTGTCCGTCCAAATGGGATCGAGCGTGTTGGGTTATGTGGTGCACCCCTGCAGGGAAGTTAATCTATTCGAATAGCCGTGATCTTCGGTAACATGACGACTTGGAGTTGTACCTTGACCTTATGACAACTAGAACCGGATACTTAATAAAACACACCCTTCCAAGTGCCAGATACAACCCGGTGATCGCTCTTTAACAGGGCGACGAGGAGAGGATCGCCGGGTAGGATTATGCTATGCGATGCTACTTGGAGGACTTCAGTCTACTCTCTTCTACATGCTGCAAGACGGAGGCTGCCAGAAGCGTAGTCTTCGATAGGACTAGCTACCCCCTCTTATTCTGGCATTCTGCAGTTCAGCCCACTTATATTGCCGCCTTACACATATACCCATTCATATGTAGTGTAGCTCCTTGCTTGCGAGTACTTTGGATGAGTACTCACAGTTGCTTTGCTCCCTCTTTTCCCCCGTTTTCCTCTTCTTCTCGGATGCCGCAACCAGACGTTGGAGCCCAGGATCCATACGCCACCGTCGATGACGACTTCTACTACATCGGAGGTGCCTACTACTACGTGCAGCCCGCTGACGACGACCAGGAGTAGTTAGGAGGATCCCAGGCAGGAGGCCTGCGCCTCTTTCGATCTGTATCCCATTTTTGTGCTAGCCATCTTATGGCAACTTGTTTAACTTATGTCTGTACTCAGATATTGTTGCTTCCGCTGACTCGTCTATGATCAAGCACTTGTATTCGAGCCCTCGAGGCCCTGGCTTGTATTATGATGCTTGTATGACTTATTTTACTTTTAGATTTGTGTTGTGATATTTTTCCGTGAGTCCCTGATCTTGATCGTACACGTTTGCGTTTATGATTAGTGTACGGTCAAATCAGGGGCGTCACAGAACCCCTCCGCCGTCGGTGTTTGGGAGTTGAGGTCGATACCGGCGTGGGTAGCAGGGCCGCTTGCAGACGGCTATGAACCCCACACGACGAAGTCGTTTCCGTCCATTACCGCCATGAACCGTGTTGGCGGATCAGATCACGCAATGTCACATGCGCTCCTTGTGCTGGCGGAGTGAGCCCTGGCTGAGGCAGACGGGGACGTGCCCGACAAGGAGCCGCGCTGGCCTCTCGCGCAGCCCACCGACCGAATTCGTCGTCCCTGCGCAAGGATCCGTGCGGGCCGAGGCCGACGGGGATGGGCCGCGCAAGGAGCCGCGACTGCTTATCGACGGGCGGACCGGCCGCGGGGAGACGAGGGGGTTGGAACGGGAGGATAGGCGGGGGCTGCTTACCGGCGACGGACATGAGCGCGGATACGGCGAGGCGCTTTCATGGGCGGTGCGAGTGGGAGGAAGGGAGAGGACGAGAAACTTTAAGGAAGTGGGGAGGGATCTGCTGCTGGGAGAGCGAGAGAAAAAAGTGTTTTTTTAGTGGTCCCGAGGGTGGGTTAGTATTTCTGAGTGGGTTAGATGCATTTAACCCAAACTGACCCTACTGTTTGGATATTTTTGGTTAGTTGAGTCCAAACTAACCCAAACTAACTCCGACCCATGGATCCAAACAAAGCCCGTATTGAATTTAGGGACCGTATTTGATCAGTTTCAGAGTTTAGGGACCGTATTGGATCAGTTTTAGGGTTTAGGGATCGTTTTGGTTCTCGCGAGCAAGTTCAGGGACGGTTGATGCATTTTAGTCCAGGAAGGATAAGTCGCAAGTCGCAACTCCACTGCTATTACTACACCTACCCCCACCCCCCGCACATCTCCTCAAACTCGTTATCTCCCTGGCATGCTCTGCGCCAACTAGATCCGATCTATGGACCCCCTCCTCCCCGTCCTCCTCCTCCTCCTCTCCCTCGCCGCCTTCTCCGCTGCCTCCGACGAGATCGACGGATGCGGCGGTTTCGTCGAAGTATTCCTCGTGTTACTCGCTAAGCTTCAGTTTCGGCTTGGCTTGGCTTGATTCTAATGCATTTTCCGATTGGGCTCTTGGTGCAGGCGAGCTCGGGCCTGGCCAAGTCGAAGAGGGCGTCGGAGTCCAAGTTCGACTACTCTGACATAACGGTATGCGATACATGCCGCACTCTAATTATTTCGTAAATTATCGTTGCGTTCTGTACTTGTTGTCGACCAAGTTGCTGCGCTATGTTGCCGCACTCTGATGTGAGGGGATTGCTGCACCCCCTCACTCTGACATAACGGTATGCGATCTACGTTGCTGCACTTGATCAAGCCTCTGCTAGTAGTTAATGGGTGCTTCAGCAGGGATACGTTTTGTTGCTTGAGATAGTTCACCTGAACTGATACCTTGTGGATTTTTCTAGTTGCTGTATGCCACTGGTTCCAGTGGCGCTGCTAGTTTGGGCCAATTGTTTATAATTACAAATTGCTAGATGCTTTGTGCAATGGGGCTACCTGCTACTGGTTGCTATCAATCGGACTAAAGTACTTTTGCTTTCTTCCCATGGCGAAAATGAATACTGGGTCGCGGAGAATTATAACGCTAATGTTTCGTTGCCTGCAACCATATGTATGTTGTATTTTGTTGCTGCTAGTGATGGTGGTCACCAAATTTGCTTGGGATTAGGTGACTGCTCTGGTGACTTGATTACGCAGTTTTACATGAAAAATGAAATGGAGGTTGTGACTTTTGAGCAAGTTCCATGCATTTGCAAAGCTTGGCGCAAGTAAAAAATGTTGGAGGTGTTAGAAACTCTGTCAACAATAGTTCTACTCTGTCAACAATAGTTGTACTCATGATTGACAGGTTCAATTGTAATCATGATGGTGGGTTTATATTCTCTGCCATTAATTATTTTTGAGCTAATTGAATCTGTTTCCCCAAGGATTTTTCTAACAATAACATACCCTGGTTATGCATAAGATGTATCGTACTACATCAGTGAGAAAATCTCATATCTTCCCTATAGTTGCTTATATGCATATCAAAGCCATAGAGACTAATTCTACATCTGCAGTATAATTATTAATTCCAGATTACTTTTGGTGACCATATATTCTACTTTATGCTTTTGTTTTTGTCGTATCTGGTATGCACAAATTCATTGCCTCCTAAACTTTTTGAATCAGGTTGAGCTGTGTACTGTTGATGGTTTGGTGAAAGAAAGCACCCAATGTGCTCCTAATGGCTACTATTTCATTCCAGTCTATGACAAGGTATACTTGTGGGTGATGCTTGCCTTTAGTGTAGGTTTCTTCATTATGAGTTATCTCACCTTTTCATGTATAATTTTTTTTACAAGTAGGGATACAGATATAACAGTAATAGCTATTTTTTGTGATGTGTATGATATTTCAATAGTGAGCGCTGCATTCCCATTGAAACAGTTGTGGACCCTAATCTTTTGATTTTGGCTTGTTGTCTCTCCACAGGGTTCATTTATCGTCAGAGTTAAGGGGCCTAAGGGATGGTCATGGAAGCCTGAAACTGTAAGTTGATGTGTCGACTGAATCTTTTTGTTCTTCCCTTTTTCCTGTCTTAGTTATCTGCTTGGCTTTGACTTCCTTCTATTGTGTGAAATAAGTCATCAATTAACATTTTCAGGTTCCTGTTGTCATTGATCAAAATGGATGCAATGGAAATGCAGATATGAACTTTCAATTCACTGGGTCTGTTGCTTTGACCATTTATTTAGTACTTTTTTTTGGTGTGGATAATTATCTGATTCAAGTTTTAACTGTTGAATTCGTCATGCAGATTTACAGTATCTGGTAAAATAGTGGGAGCTGTTGGTGGTAAGAGCTGTTCAAAAGATGGAGGACCTTCTGGTGTGAAAGTTGAGCTGTTATCAGATTTGGATGAGTTAGTTGCATCTGCTTTGACATCATCAACAGGAGGATATGCGTTTGTGAATATAATTCCTGGTTAGCCTCACATTCATCATTAGAAAACCACAGCATATGCATGTATATAGTCTGATGTGAGAAGTGTTGGTCATTTCCTGTGAGTCCATCTCTTACTCATGTTATCAGTAGTTATGGAGTACCCTATTAAGGACTTGTATGATGTGACTTTAATTAAAATTTGTCAACGTGTCTTTCTTTTTTGTTTCATTTGAATATATTAGATGCTTAATTTACTCCTGTTAATGACATGCCACCATATTTAAATTTTTATGGGTTGTTCAACTATTTTATATTGTTGCATTTGTTCGGATCAAGTCCTCTGGAAAAGATAAGCAAATGGGTCGTTATGTTGGCATGAGTTTCTGGCTCGAATAACTTCTTGACCAGTCTGCTTAAGTGGTGAAAAATTCATGTAGAATCTAGTGTAATGGCAAACCATACCTGCTCCCTTCATGGGCTCATGGTTGTGTTGAACCCTAGAGCCCAGAAATCATTTCCCTCCATTGGTTTTCCACCGGAGGCATTTTGTGCCACGAACCTAGATCCCATATTTATATTTGTATAGGTTGTTCAATCTGTTTTTTTTTATTATTCCATTTGTACGGAATCAAGTCCTCTGTAAAAGATATGCAATTGGGTCATTATGTTGGCGTGTGTTTCTGATTGGAATAACTTCTCGATCTGTCTACTTAAGTTGCTAAAAAGTCTTTTAGAATCTAGTGTCATGGCAAACCGTACCTGCAATCTCTCTCATGGTTATGTTGAACCCTAGACCCAAGAGATCATTTCCCTCCTTTGGCGTTCCACCGGAGGCATCTGCACCACGAGACCCACTCCCACCCCACAACACATCAGCAGAGGCATGGTAGTAACTTTGTCTCAAATGTCTCACGCACCCCCTCTCCATCCTTCGCAAATATGACCCAGACATTTGGGGGAAACCTATTGCAGCGAACTGTTTCTTCAGCCATAGTTTTGGTCCAGTTCGCTCGGAATTCATTACCAAGTTGCCGATCTCCATGCACAAAATCACAAGCATCAGCAGCTAGCCTAGTGGTGGACAGGCTCTCCTCCAGCATGGTCGATAGAGGAAAGCGCTGCAGCAGCGTGGCGCATGAGTAGGTTGTGACGCTGGTGAACTTTTGGCGGCGGCCGGTGCTACGTGGATGTATGTACAGAGACCTCCAGTGCTTTGGCCTTTGAAAGTTGGGATCATGAAGTAAAGCTTAGTGAATCTGGGAGGGATTTGGATTTTTTTTGAACAGCGGGAAGGGACCCGAGGTTCTGAAATTGGCATTAAAAGAGTAGAATTGAACAACACAGCTTACAGAAGGACACCAAAGAAAAAGAAGATTATAGACACATCCTTCCTTTTTGCAAACAAGAACCCAGCATAGACACTTAGATTGCAAGCGAGTCCTGGTAGTTGAAAAGGAGCTCGCAGGTGATCGGCGACAGGCCGAAGCTGGCGATCAACCCTAGCTCTTGTCGGAGCAAACTGGAGACATATGAACGACCAAAGCTTGTCCGGAAGAACCATGAATGCGGCAGTCAAAGAGGTCGTGGCTGTGCATCTTGGAAACGAGAATCACCAAAGCCAGCTTCCTTTCCTGTTGGTACACCAGACTTGCATGGATTGAAGCCAAATCCAGCCCGATACTTCCTTCCACCACCTCAGTGACGAAGAAGGAAAGAAGAAGCTTCAGACTCCACCAGATTGGGCTGCCACAGGAGCTTATTGTGGAGCTCCCGATGGATCACCTCCAGCAGCTGTCCTCCCCCATGGAGGACAGCTGGAAGAGGTGAAAGGCAACCAGCTGACGCAGTTTGAGCGCCATGAGAAGCTCCAGTCCGGCATGACACCAAACACCATGAAGGCCGCCCTAACCTAGACCTACACCTACTATACTATATACAACGAGGATCCACACTCCCATCCTATCCTCACTCCGGCCGGCCTTGTCGGTGAAGGAGAAGCGGAAAAGAGGCGCTTAGTCGCCGTTCTGTCATCTACACAAGATGATTTGAGGCCTATGCTTTGCTGACAGTTATCATGTTATGCAACTCGTGGTGCATTTATGTTAATGCTAGCTGTTAAATCTCCTAATCGGCTGTCATATGTTATATATTTATGTGTAGCCTTGCCTTATGCTTTAAGCGCTTAAATTTTTTGGGTCTTTTTTCCTATCGAGCCTGCTCCTTTTTTACTTTCAATAATTCTGGATCTTTCAGTGAATAGAAATATGTGGTACTTCTAGCTCTTGATAAAAACTAGTAAGCTTGCACGTGCAGCGCACGTTAAATGTTGACCACAAATATATAAATTTGATTAATACACAATGTTGTTATGTCACTCGAGTAGTTTTTCCATAAATGAGACATCCTATGGTCTGATAGGCTGCAAAAGAAAAAGAAATCTAGTTATGATTGAAAAGCAACCTTGCATTGTGTTCAATACGTGGAGATGCAACTCTACAATTGGTCTAAATATCATTGTGTAAGCAATGGATAACTAAAACCTGGGGAAAAAGATAAAAGAGATAGTTAAATCTGCAGATACTATATAATATGAGGTTGCTAACCAAATGCTTATATAAACCTGCAAATGGCCTTGATTAAGGTATCATGAAATTTCCGGTAGTCAATTACGTGTTACAGATAAACATAACTCACACTCGAACGACTACTAAAATACAAAACAAATATCTCACATAAAAAAATCTTGTCTCATGGATGCCTCCTTATGCTTATGCTCCTCCCACAGGTGCTCAGATCCAACAGCATGCCCTCTTCCTGCTGGGAATCAGTACAGATACACATGTGTGTGAGAGAAAGTAGACCCAAAAGGAAGAACACAGAGGGGTGCTGTCCTACGTACCTCTTCCACAATCCACAGTGTGCGTCTTTGCTGTGCTCTCTCTCTTTCTCAACCGCTTATGTAGATCCAGACCGAGCATGGGCAGATTTCGCACGGTGCGACGAAAAAGAAGAAAACCGGGCAGCGAGGAGCGGCGTGCTCCAGTGTGGGCCGTGCGTGTGTCAGGCGCCGCTACAAGGCAAGGGATGCACTGAGGAGTAGGAGGATGACGGGGTGGGTGCTCTTGGGGAAAGGCGGTGTCGCGCGGGGAGGAGGCGGGGAGCGACATCGTTGCGTGCGTAGGAGTGGCAGGAGACGCGGAGACGTCGCGTCGGCTGGCGGCGGGGAGCGGCGATGCTTTCGGGTAGGTGGTGTTGCGAGGACGGCCGTAGTCGCAGGGAAGCGCCCCCATCCAACCTCGCGCGCCAGGCGGCCGTCGGAGCCCGCTCGCCGGCGAGCACCTCCTCAGCCGCCGCCAGGACTCTCCTTCTCTCCCCCTCTTCTTCCGAAGATGCGCCACCGCCCGAGTCGGCTTGACCCGTATCCATCGGTTGGCATCCCAGGCGACCCGTCGCGCGACGAACCTGCCACCGTTCACCAACCCAACCGCCCGCCCGCATCTCTAGCGAACGGCGTATGGCACGGGCGGCGTATTGCGCGGTAGGCGGCGGACGGCGGGAGGGCGGCTACCGAACGACGGGAGGATGGGGGGCGGCCAAGTTGAGCGGAGGATGATTGGACCGGGTGCGGAGGAAGATGCGGGCGGCGGGAGGATGGGCGGCCCGCACGTACTGTGGTGAACGGCTGGCGTGCTGGCGTGGATGAGGAGGAGCGGGCAGAAATCTTCTTTTTCTTTTTTGCGGGGCGAGCGGGTGGAAGTCGTTCGGGCGTGGTGCGCAGCGGTTTCTTTTTGCGAACGCGGCGGGGTGGGTTAGCGATTGATGGATTAGTGGATTAACCTGTGGCTTGCAACGTTAAACATCGAAGGATTTGGAGCCATTAGATCTTGTAGATGGATGGATCTGATTGTTTGGATCTGCCCTCTCTCCCTTTTATAGGGGTAGTAGATATGTTGTGTACAGCGATTTCGAAACGGAAATAACGAATGCATGAATCTGATTCCCAATTTGCGAATTGGAAATGTATACCCCCTAGTGAACCCAATTCATGATCGTGAAATCAAATTGTGAATCGAGCTAATTGCGAATCTGGTAACTATGGTCCAAACATAACATTTCTAGCTCAGCTTTTTATTATAGTGGTATCCATTAATGGATTAGTCTGGTCAGGCTCTTACTTGCACCCATTTACAAATGATAGCCATGTATATCTTGTTTCTCCCCCTTCTCATTTGAGCTTTTAGTACCTGACATGCATTTTCTACGTGACACCTTTGTTTGTTCATTTATGTGTGTCTTTGATCTTTTCCAGGACTCTACAGGTTGCGTGCATCTCATCCTGATTATGAAATTGAGATGACAGGTTCATCAGAGGTTAGGATTTCATCGTTCCTTATCTGCCAATATATGTTATCACACACATGTATTGCTTATAGTGGAGTCTGTTTTCTGTATGTAGGTGGACTTGCGATTTGGAAATGCTGTAGTAGATGATGTTTTCTTCGTATCAGGATACAATATTCATGGCTCTGTAGTTGCACAGGTACTGAAGGAATCTGTATGTTGGCAATAAGTTATAACCAATGCTGTAAGCATATGACTGAAATTGCCAGCTTTAGGGTTGTGATTTTCTTGTTTGCTGGATTTTAGATTAACATGTACTAAGCATTTCTTGTACCAGGGAAATCCAATCTTGGGAGTTCACCTGTATTTATATTCAAATGATGTAAAGGAGGTTCCTTGCTCACAAGGTTTGACCGATGCACCCAGGGAAGGTGCTCTTTGCCATGCAGTATCTGGTGTGGATGGGAAGTTCTCATTTAGATCAATGCCCTGTGGTAAGTTAACTTGCCCATAGTTCATCACACTGTAATGCAACTGGTACATAAAATTCTGTAGTTAACATGCTGTGGAAGTTTCCTTTTGACATGTCCTCTTATCTGACATGTCTTCCAGGACAAAAAAACAACAGTTGTACATGTAATTTGTGTATCTAATTAACTAATAATAATCTTCTCCTATAAGGAACTGCTTGTCCTCATGCAGCATGGACTGTAAATTATGTATGCTAGCTGTTTATGGTTGTTTTCCATTGAAAGTCTTCTTTTGTTTTGCCAGGTCTGTATGTAAAGGAACCTACATGAGAACTCACATTGTATTTCACTCATATAAACCTTTAGGCTATTTTTTTTGTTTTATTACACTTTCTAAATGTGAATGTATCATTGGTGTTGTAGACATTCTGTTTATGGTTGTTTCCCATAGGAAGTCTTGTTCTGTTTTTGCCAGATCTGTATATAAAGGAACCTACATGAGAACTGCACAGAATTCCAGCCATGTAAATTGTCAGGTTGCCTTATTAAATTTGTTTGGTCTAAATGCGCAAGTATCATTGGGGGCTAGTGCATCAAGTTGTAGACACTCCTTCACATGGTCCCTTTCCAAATGCTGTAAATTATGAGTTCATATTTTTATTTATGGCACTAAAGTTACTTGATGCGTTATTAGCATTGCAATTCTGTTGCTAATCGACATTTTTCACGTGTTATAATGCTTGTGAAGGTGAGGTGATGTGTAAACACCAAGCATGAAATTTTCATTATCTTGTATAATTTTGCAGGTAGCTATGATCTGTTGCCATACTACAGAGGGGAAAACACTGTTTTTGATGTTTCACCTTCTTCATTACATGTTTCTCTTGAGCATAGTCACATGACAATCCCCCAAAAATTCCAGGTAATTTTTAACTTACTATACATCTCATAATTTGGACTGTAAAGTTATGGATGAAGCTATTTTTGCTCGAGGATGGCTGACAAGAGGACTACCTACCATTTAAAGCTGGGTAGATGTTACTTGAAGTTTACCACTAATTGATTAGCATGTATGCTTTCATGGATATAAACAAAATATCTTCCCTACTTGTAAAGTCTAGAGTTGTCGGTGAGTTCACTCTCCCTCCATTTTTACTTGGGCATAGTATATGTGGGGCCAGTAACTTACAAATCAATCAAATAAACAAATATATTCATCCTCACATGTGGGATCACCACTCATGCAAAAGATCTTACAATCAATAAAAAATGCACTATTATGTTCAAACGTGGGACCCGTATTCTTGCAAAAGGCAATAATAAATTAATATACTCTTATGCTCTGTTTGGATGTAGACATTCAAAGGCATGACATTGAATAACTGAATTGACTTAATGCCAAATATCCATGACATTGAGAGCTTCAATATCAATTTTAGTGTTTGGATGGTCATATATTTGGCACCTGGAATCCATCATAAGCCACAATTTTCTTGTTTGGATGGTCAGATGTTGAATTGCACATGTACAAGTGTATGAAGTATGAACAGAGCAATGAATGTTCATGCAGCAGTGCATGCAAGCAATACTGCACACATAGCCACACACGCATTACCGGACATTATATCTCCATTGCCAGACTCGACGTCGCCGCCAATCTCCAGTCGAACTAGCAGCCCATCTCCAGCCGGTCTCATCGCGCCACCTGTTCCATCCAAGGCAGATCCCATGCCGGGGAGATACGGGGCGTGGCGAATCACACCAGAGCTAGATAGGGTGCACGAGGGAAGCATGGGGGCGAGGTGGGGAGCATGGGGGTGAGGTGGGGATGGCCGGAGGAGTGCCGTCATCGAGCTCCGCCTGGGTCGTCTCGCCCTGGGGATGTGGCCACCGAGTAGAGTAGCACAGAGGAGAGCACCAGCATGGTGGAGAAGTTCTTGACGGAAGCGGCCAGCGAGGGGCTGCTGCCATTGCCGGACGTGGAGTAGGACACAGAAAGGCGCGTGATTGGCCAATGATGCATCCTTGGCGTGCGTGGGGTAGGCGTGTGGAGGGGTTGTATGAGGATGGGTAAAGAGCGTAGGGGACGGCGTCCACCTTGATTCAGCGGAGAAGCTGCCGGTCTTGGAGACGGCTGCTGGGGCGGGCTGGCCTCGACCTCGATCTCTTTTCTTCGCGCGCAGGGAACGACGAAGGGGTAGCGAGGCCAAGATTCCAAGGAATATCGAACTCGGGGGGTTTGAATTTGCGGAGGGCCGTGCATGTGTTCAGAAAAACACTTCAATATTGAGCCCGAATACCACGCGTGAATGTCTAGGCCATCCAAACAGCTGCATTCGGGTCAGCCCAATGCCAATTACGAATTCCCGCCACCAATGTCTACATCCAAACGGGCTGTTACTCTCATAGGAACCAACATTCCTCTAATTGGCACAAATAGACAAATGTGAAAAGCTACTCCTAATGCAAAATCTTGCTCTAGATTTTTTAGCTTTCCCCACTAAACCAATTTTCCTCGGTCTATATCATAGCATGCATCATCGAGCAATTTTATTTATTCTGGCATAACAAAAATTCCATTCTCGTGCCGTCTTTCTTCCTTGATTGCTGTCCTCTTTCCTCATCTCATTACTGCCCAACGTTCCTCGTTTGAAAAATTAAAATTTGCTCTCTTTGAACCTTGTAATACCACCTAATGGTCGTTTTTGTTGCTCATCCCTGGGTTATCACCCTCATTTTCTTGCCGAGACCACACAACGGTTGTAAGACACTAAGGCTCTTCCGGCGATCCCCATGCCCATGGTCCTAGTTGCATTTCTAGATGTTTTTCGCAGCAATGCATGGGCACCGTGCTATAACGTGATAGGTTAACCTATGTTAAGCTTCATGCACTAGCCAACGCAACCAAAAGTCTGAACTTATGGAAAGGGCTAGTGCAATCCACATATACTGTAACACCCCCTTTTACGTGTGATGGGGAAGACAAGTCAACACGTGCAATCGGAAGAGACCGACGGCGCGCGAAACTCATGTATGACTCAAGAGGCCTGTACGTGGACACAAAGGGGGTACCAGCAATTTTTTAGGTAAATTGCGAAAGCTAGGACTTGAACTCAAGACCTTAGCTCTGATACCATGTTAAGCTTCATGCACTAGCCAACGCAACCAAAAGTCAGAACTTGTGGAAAGGGCTAGTGCAATCCACATATACTGTAACAACCTAGACTTGAGAACTTTCAGCTGCTTAAGCAATTTGAGCTTGAACATGTTCTTTATTTGCTGTGATTTTTGAACATGTTTGTGCACATTCAGCTTCAGTAGTTATTTTCCTTGCTCTTTGGATGCAAACCTGATCTCCACCAATTTTCCACATTTATCTTGCTAGGTTACTGGGTTTTCTGTTGGTGGACATGTTGTTGATGGCTATGGTGCTGGCATTGAAGGTGCCAAGGTTATAGTCGATGGTCAGTTGAGAGCTGTAACAGATAATCTTGGGTATTACAGACTTGATCAGGTACTGTTATCTGATCAGAATTTTAATTAGCGCATCAGTTTATCTAGGGTGTTTCTTTTCTCTTTATTTGTATCTTTACTTGTATCTCAAGGTATAACATGGTTTATTTGTGTACAGATCACTAGCACCACTAGTCCGCTTAGTCATTCAAGCTGGCTGAGGGCTCGTAGATTGGTTGTTGACCAAAATTAGCTAAGTTGGTTCTTATATATTAAATTTAGGAAAATACGATAAAAATAACAAAGTTACTAAAAACAAACAGAAAAGTTTGAACTCCAGTATAGAGGCTAGAATGTATGCCATAGGAACTGCAAATAGTGCGTTATAACTTAGATGCGCGGGATCAGCTAGCTCAACCGCGGTTGGATTGATCATTTGATCAGTTGGATACCTGACCAGTTTTCACTTTTCAGCCAATGTGGTGTACCTTTCTAATCCCGGTTTTCTACTCTGTGTAGTCTACCTATCCCAGCCTCTAATCCCACCTCATGCACCGCTCGCCACAAACAGCTGCAGCCCACTGAAAAGTGTAGCAGCCACGCTATGTAACGGCGAAGTACGGTTCCTATGCCGCTGCCACAACACCGTCAATTTTTTTCTGCAACATTTTAACACATGCATGCAAAACTATTCATCTTTTATCGTGTGCATGCGCATAGTTCCAAACATTTTTCTTATTGTTTGGTACTTGCTGGTGTCGCTCCAGCGTGAGCTACGGTCTCCAACGAAGATGCTTGTTGGAGCAGTGTTGTCAGGCTTGCATCCGCGGCAGCTAGCTTTGCAGCATCGGGTCTCCAGCTCACAGCGTCGCTGGACTGGACTTGCAGCATCGTGATTCCGTCATTTGCCGCAATGGTGGACCTACCTTGCAGCTTGGTACTCACTTGCATTGTCGTCAGCCTGACATTGCAGCATCTTCGTCTCAGCATGCAACATCGCGTGCCCCAGCTTGCAGCATGCCACCGCTGTTGCTAGACTATTCTTCCTGCTGCAACATGAAAACTGCACATACAACAAAAACATTTTCTCTCGCGAACCCATCAAAATCAATCAAAAGTCTTGCAACAATTGAACATCCATTTGTTGCAGGGCAACGCTACGTGTTGGCAGGCGGATAAGAGAGAAAGACAGACCGGTCCCTGATATTGAATGGAGCAGATAAGAGAAAAAGACCGACCGGGTCCCTGATCATTGGATGGATCTGCGGATGGCCATCCTATCTACCCACGTGGCCAGCCATCTATGCAACAAATGAGCTGTTGCAATATTTTCTGCGACAGAGGTCTTATTGCAGATTTTTTTTGCAATAGAGGTATTGTTGCAGAAATTTTTGCAACAAAGGTGTTGTCGCAGTTTTTTTGTGTGAGGCTGCAATAGTGCCCTTTTGCAATAAGAGCTTTGTTGCAATTGCGACATGCCCTTTGTTGCAAAATAAACGTATCCGCTCGTGTCTGTGTTCGCCGTTCAGATCGTCTTCTCAGGGGTCGACACCGCCCTCTGTCGCCTTTGTCCGCTCCGCCGCCTCGCCTCAGCCAAGCCACCTCCTCTGCCTGGCTCAGCTCGCGGCTGCCTCAAGCAGGCTCGCCCGCGACCGCCAGTACCCGCATGTCTGGTCTATCACCTCGCCGTGGCCAGATACGGCGAGCCCTCACCGCCGCAGCCAGATCCGGCCATCCGATCAAAAATAGATCCGACGGCGATGGAGGCGAACGACACGTGCGTGGGATCCATCAGGTAATAGGAAGTGTTTTCCTTTGTTGCAACAAAAGCGCTGATAAGAAACAGGCTCAATGCGCACAACATAAAAAGATAAACGTAAGCAGCACATGAAAAAGAACATGCAATAACAGGAGAGAACTTAAATCCATATTTTGTCCATAGAAGTGAGGAGCTGGCTTACCATGAGTGATGTCTTACAACGAGTGATGTCTGTGAGGCTAGTTGCAGGCTAGCAAGCTGCAGGTCGATGGTGAAGATAGAGCCAAACCCATTAGTTGACACCAAAAAGGAGGAGATATAAGGAGCAAAGTTCTAAGTATATGCTTTGCTAGCCCTAAAAATTTAGAGGAGGTTGCAATAGGTACGGGCCCGGTGGGCTACATGGGCTTCTTAGCCCAAATTGGTGTGCAAACCGGCTGATTCCGGTTGGACGCACCAGACTGTCTGGTAGTGTAAACAGCGGCCGATCGGACAGTTCGGTCCTCAGGGCCGGACAGTCCATTGAGTCCGTAGAGTTAGGCCACCCGCACCGTCCATCTACAGTCTGGTTGCTCAGACTGGACAGTCTGGTCCCTAGGACCGGGCAGTCCATTGCTTCCAGAAGGTTTTGCCCGAAGCATTTATGCTGGACAGAGTGGTAGCGCAAATTCTGCACAGCTTCTTTTCCATTTCTTCTTGTCTCTACTCTTTGCTCGAGTCTTAGGGCTGATCTTATGCCTCCATTTCGAGGAAAAAAAAACAGCCGTAGTGTCTACTAGCTAGTATTACTAGAGCACTAGTACATGGCAGCAGAACATTAACAGGTGTGTATGTGTGTGGAAGCACCCGAAGTTAAAGACAATCGTGGACAGGAATCAGCTGCCCATGGGGACGACTCACGTCCTACGCGTGCTTACAAGAAAGCATGCGTGGTAGGCCTGAACATGTGGTTGGTTCCGTAGGCGACTCAGCGTCATTCTCAAATCAGCCGGGTGAGGACAATCGTTTTCCAAACTTATATGAGAGGTTCCAAACAGAGCACGTCTAGGTTTTCTCTTATGAACAAGCCTAGAATGTTAGCATTAATTTGTCTTATGGTAATTTGGTGCTGCATGCATGAGGTGATGCAATGCATGCAGATAAATGTGCACTAGCTTGCATGTCAGCTGACTTTCTACAGCAAGAAAGAAGGCAATGCATCTCTAATACTCCCTCCGTCCCAAAATTCTTGTCTTAGATTTGTCTAGATACGGATGTATCTAATACTAAAACGTAACTAGATACATCCGTATCTAGACAAATCTAAGACAAGAATTTTGGGACGGAGGGAGTATGACGGCAGGAACAGTCAAAATCCTTTTGACTGCTTGTTATCTTGATAAGGAAGTAGAAAAGGTAATGGCAAGCTCAATGCATGCATGCACCTAAGCTGGACATTGGATACATTGACTGAAGGACATGAGTTGTATGAGCTATAGGCTATGTTTTTAAGGCGACGCCTTACCGCCTTAGGGAGGGGGGGCGCTTTGGCGCCTAGGCGACGCCTAGGCGGGCGCTTTGGACGCCTAGGCGCCCAAAGCGGTCGATTTTCCAAAGCGGAGGGGGAGCGCTTCGACGCCTAGGCGTCGCCTAGGCGTCGCCTTAGGGACGCTTTAAAAACATAGGCTATAGGTCGGTTTGTAAAGTCATATATAAGGACATGTATCCATCTATGTAAGATAAGTTTGTGGCAGGATGTAGCCCCTCAAGCATGAATGAATGTAAGTGCATATGTGTGTCGTATGTGCATTTGTTATGAGAGAAAAACAGTGAGTGGATCCTTGTGAGAGAACCTAGTAGTTCTAACATATAAGCTAGTTTAGTTTCTGTTACTGTTTTGCAGTAAAACACCCTAATCTGTTCTGGCACAAATTGTCACATTGCAAACATTTTTTGAACTGCAAATTTCTTGATTAAAGGAATGGACAAATGTACTGCTGGAAACTAAAAACTCCTAAGAGCAAGCAATTCACTACCTTTGAAGCAGTAAACTTTGTATTGTATTATCTTGGCATGGGTGGAACATTTGGACGTTTAGTCTTTAGAACAATGCCTCACACCATTTACTGCTTTATCACGCCCCCTTGTTTTTAATTTTATGTCTATACTCCAAAAGTCCAAATAGAACTCAAGTCTTGGACAATTTAGTTGAAAGTTTTCTCAACATGACTGTGACACTGTAGCCAACATCAATTTCCCTTCATCTGGTTGTTAGTAAATCTTCAAACTACAGCTTTAAAACACAATCTGGTCAACAGACACTAAGAAAACTGTATATTCTTAGTGTTAGTTCTTGTCATAAAATGACAGGATTTAGGATACATAGATTACTGAAATAGAAGGTACATAATTTTGTCTTTGCAAGCACTTAATTCTTCTAATTCTCATGTAAAGAAAGAAACAAGGATACTTATGCTACCTCATATTTTCTAGTTTAAACTTGACATTTTGATCTTTTCGCCTGTGTGTAGGTTACATCCAAGAAGTATGATATAGTTGCTGAGAAGGATCATTATAAGTTCAACCGTTTGGAGAACTTCATGGTAAAAAGTGCCTGATTGAGGGAACACCTTAAATTGTTAAATATCCAGATCAAGTGCCTTAGCTTCCCGATTGTGGCTAAATACTGTCCTTTTCATTAGATTTTGCCAAACATGGAAAGCATTGATGATATCAAATCAGTTCGATATGATGTATGTGGTGTTGTTCAAACAGTAACTCCAAACTCCAAAGCCACGGTAATATCTTGATGTGGTCTTTTGTTTCATTGAGATTACCATGAAAACTTCATCCTTACAATTCGTGTGGGGCTGTTAGGTAACTTTAACACATGGGCCTGAAAATGTAAAGCCGCAGAGGAAAATTGTCAGCGAAAATGGAAGATTCTGCTTTGAGGTATGTGGTTATTTCTTGTTTTGTTGCTGGAAATAAACTTTGAGCTAATGATGTGTCATTCCTTTTTGCTACTTTTTTGTATGAACATAGTATCGTGCACTGTATGTTGCAATTTGAACATGTATCACTTAAGAATTATTAGATGCATTATTATCTTCAATGTTTACAGTTTGAACAAATGTAACGCAAATTGGGATGTCGTACTAAGCCTTTTTTTTTACCACTAGCTGTGTTCTATGTGTGAGTAGGAATAGGAATTTTGCATAGACCTACCTTGAATGGTTATTTATATCATTGTGAAATTTGGTCTGATCTTACACGAACCAGCTTGCGATGTGAGCTCCAGCATTATTTCATTCATTCAAGTAACTCAATTTAAAGTTATATGACGAAATTATCTGTTCTTCTTCCTTTCTTGCAATATGCAGGTTTCTACTGGTGAATACCGATTATCTGCGTTACCTGTAGATTCCGAAGGTTCTTCCAATCTTTTATTTTCTCCAGGATATATTGATGTCAATGTCAAGTGCCCGTTGCTTGATGTTGAGTTCTCTCAGGTAAATGAGTATTTCTTCACCGTGGTGATTTTTCAACATTATTTAACTTTCATCAAGTTGATGGATACTCTGACTTGATTGTATCTGAGTATTACCTCTTTGTAAACAGTCACAAGTCAATGTTCACGGTAAGATCCTCTGCAAAGAGAAATGCAACCAAAATATTCTGCTCTTGCTTGTTAGATTAGCTGGGGGTGTCGAGCATGAAACGAAGACAACCAGTTTGGAGCAAGATGCTAATTTTGTGTTCACAAAAGTATTTCCTGGAAAATATCGTCTGGAGGTAAAATCTTGTAATTTGATCAACAATATTGAATTTTCACTATTTTGTCTAAACTCTTGGCTATTTTGTGAAAATCCCTTCTAGGTGAAACATTCTTCATCCAAGGCTCCTGCAAACGATGATTGGTGCTGGGACGAAAATACCTTGGATGTAGATGTCGCTAATGATGATGTGACAAATATTGTATTTGTACAAAAGGGTTATTGGATAGAGCTAGTCTCAAGTCATGACACTGAAGCATACATTCGTCAACCAGACTCTTCTAAACTTGAATTGTTGATAAAGGTGCATACTTGGACTTATTAAATCTACAATATATTTGAATTAATACAACCTTTTGTTAATCCATCCACTATTTATCCTACACAGGAAGGGTCACAAAGAATTTGCATCGAAACTCCTGGGCAACATGAGCTTTATTTAGTTAATTCTTGCATTTCCTTTGGGACCTCGCCTATTGTGTTTGATACACACAACCCAGTGGTGAGCTGCTCATGTACTTTGGTTTTTATCTTTATCCATGTAAAGTTCAGTTTGGCACCCTAACGCAAAAAGTTACCCTCCCCCCTAGTTGGTTCACATCAGTGCAAAGAAGTATCTTGTAAGAGGTGAAATCCATGTGGACATAAGCTCCCCTCTGGAAGAGATCGATTTATTAGAAGATATCGTTGTTGATGCCTTCAAGAGTAATGGGAGCTCTATCGACAAAATATCTACCATGCCTGTTTTTGCAAAGAGTTATCAAAATGGTATTACTGTCTTTGAGTACTCTACTTGGACTGATCTTGGGGAAGACTTCATTTTTGTCCCTCGTGATTCCAGGTATAATTTTTACTCGAGTCCTTTTGGTTTTGCACCAACAGTCAGAATTTCTCAATAGTTGCAAATTCCTTCTACCTCTAACTCTTGTTTTGTATGTTTCCCTTTCTCGATTATTTATCTATTATACTTTTCTGTAATACAGCACTAGAAGGAAAAAGATCCTATTTTATCCATCACGGCATCAGGTGAGCGATGGTTTATTAAAAAAAAACTTCTGAACTTGAATGGTGAAACCATCATTAATATTTAAACTGCAGTTCTCAGTGTCTGCAAACGGATGCCAAGATGCTGTTCCTTCAATCACTGCTAAAATGGGTCTATACCTTGAAGGATCAGTGTCACCTGCAACTCCTGATGTTCATATCACGATTCTGGCAGCTGGAAATAGCAAGTATGCGATGCTGAAGAAAGGTGATATAGCAACAGAGACAAAGACAAATTCTGATGGGTCATTCTTTGCAGGGCCCTTATATGAGGATATAGGATATGAAGTCGAAGCCTCAAAGGTCTATACTTTTTTCTGCACACACATTATGTGTAATCGCTAGGGTGTTGACCTCCGGTGTTGACTTCATGGTCATATGCTGCAATTGTGTACCGTACTACAGTGTATTAGCATGATTTCTCAGTTTTCGTATTTTGTTTTTGCTGGTGATACAAACTGTTTTCCAGTCACTCTTTTTTTCAAATAAGAAAGACGTGGCAAGTGATGTTTGTATGGAGCACCACTTAATTTTATTTACCTTTGCACTAGACTAGTCAATGTGATTTCTTGTAAACTGCTTAGTCAGAAGTGGTTCCAGTCTTGTTCATTCAAGCTTAAACAGTGCACTGTTCAATATAGTATGCCCTAATTACATTTAACCACAACTGGGAAGGGAACTTTAAGAATCAGCAACCAAAAACGTGTGTTTTCTTTAATATCCTATACCTGATATCATTCCTTCCTTCAGGCTGGCTATCATCTCAAGCAAACTGGACCATACAGCTTTGCTTGTCAGAAACTTGGTCAGATATTAGTTCATATTTATGGTGAAAATGATACAGAGATGTTACCGGCAGTATTATTATCCTTGAGTGGTGAAGGAGGTTACAGAAAAAACTCAGTCAGTGGTTCTGGTGGAACTTTCAGCTTCGATAACTTATTTCCTAGGAGTTATTATCTCCGCGCTCTTCTTAAGGTACTTTGTTGTTATTCACACTCTCGGTTCTAGTTTGTACTGTACCACAGTTCTTCTAAATAATCTGAAATCTTCACATCAGATATTACTAGTTTTCAACAATGTGTTTAAATATATCAGTGGGTTGTTCATATGTTAATATGACGTCATAAAATATTCATAATTATTGTCTTATTTGCTCGTAACATGTACTGTCGTCTACATTTGAGTGACTTGACCAAACTGCATCCTATTTATTAGCTGTGAGTTTTGATAGCCTCAACTGAACTAACTTCTCAACATTTCTGACATACGGATATCAAAGAATAGGGAGAGATATATTTATAGTTCAAGCTTAATGTGGCGAGGATACAAAGGGTCACTTGGCTAAGATACTAATTTTTAAAAATCAATGACTTGTTGATTTTTTAGTCTTCCTGATCTTTATTGACTTCGTCACCAGGTAGACTTGCTCGCTTCACAATTCACACTCGAACTGATTGCAACAACAACAAAGCCTTTCAGTGCCAAACAAGTTGGGGTAGGCTAGAGTTGAAACCCATAGATCTCTAACTCATGGTTTTGGCACATTTATGGCTAACTTCCACGAACCCCTGTCCATAGCTAATGGCTAATTCTTTGGTGATATTCTAGTCATTCCGAACTCTCTTTACGGACTCCTCCCATGTCAAGTTTGGTCTACCCCGACCTCTCTTGACATCATCAGCATAGTCTAACCGTTCGCTATGCACCGGCGCTTCCGTAGGCCTGTGTTGTATATGCCCAAACATCTTAGACGATGTTGGACAAGCTTCTCTTCAGTCGGTGATACCCCAACACTATCACCTTTATCATCATTTCGGACCCAACCCTTTCTTGTGTGTGTTAGCAGTAATCCTTGTGTTATAATCTACTTAGCTAGGGAGTAGTAGTAGGACGGGTGGAGCTTCCTTAGTAAGGTAGTGTATGCATCTAGACAGCAGTAGTCAGTTTGGTTTTTGCATGTTCCAGAAACTCAAAAAAAAAAAAACAGCTAGAGCTGCATGGTCGGTAGTAAAATCAGACGGCGGTCGCCAGTGCTCGTGCCCGGCTGAAATAAAGGAAGCTGCTAGCAGAATTTTGGGGGGAGGCGGTCACAACTGCAGTTTTCCTGCTGAACCGAGCCCCCACCAGAAGTCTGGCTGGCATGACACCATTTGAGGCATGGCACGGGAGGAAGCCCGCTGTCCAGCACCTGCACACCTTTGGGTGTGGTGTACCTCAAGGAGGTGCGCCCGCAGCTTCTCAAGCTCGATGACCACAGCTCCGCCATGGTCTTCATCGGCTACAACGAGCGCGTTAAGGGCTATCGCGCATACGATCCAGAGCGTGTCCATATCACCCATGATGTCATCTTCGATGAAGAGGCCAGCTGGGATTGGGCGGCTGTCAGCTCAGATCCACCATGCAGCGACTTCATCATCACAAAGACCCAACAAGTTGCTCCTTCCACACCAAGTGCAGCTGCAGGGGGAGCACCTTCCCTTGTTCCTGGACCATCTCCTGCTGGACAGCCATCTCACCAAGACAATCTCCACAGCCAATGCAACCTGAGTTTGTGTCACCATCGCCCAATGATAGATCTTCCAAGCGACATGGGCATATCCAACACTTCCAATGTTGCGGACTTGACTCTCTACCATCCAGAAGAAGCGCTCTACGACGATAACTCGAGGGCGAGTTCCAAACAACCAGGGGAGAATTATGAGGAACAATAGATGAGAAACAAAACACACATGCCAGATCTGTTTGACTACTTCTAGATACTTCCACTCTAGTGTAGTATTTCTTTTCTTTTCTTTACCCTACCTGCTGTTTCTAGAGTTCTCTAGTTATAAGTAGCTGTGAGTAGAATGGTGAATCCTAAATAATGTTTTCTAGAGTGTTCCAGCTATAAGTAGAAGTATGTGAAGGCTTCCCAAAGCCCTATAAATAGAGGTCCTCTCCTCTATTGTAACCAGACGATGTACCCACTACCTATAATAGAACTTGTTGTTCTTATCTAAGATACTGGAGTAGATCTTGTGCTCTAGGAGTTCTGGATTGAACTCTTGCTGCCATATCGGCCTACATTCGCCTCTAGAGCGATATCTAGCGAGCACGTTGAAGTTGTTCCTTCAACACTTGTGCTGTACACGTTGTAGCGGCAAGGTGGAGTTGCTCCTCCACAACCTTTGTGCTGCTTCACTTCAATCACAACTCGTTTTGCGCTGTTTGCTGCCTTGGTACTTCTCTATGTTGTCTGCACCCTTATCCAGGTGTAGGCGTTTAAAACTGTCTTTCTTCTCCTTAATAGCCTTCTGGACAACATCGTTCCACTACCGGGCATCTTTAGGGCTCCTTTGATTCAAAGGAATTCTATAGGATTTCTGGAGGATTGAAATTCTTAAGAATTTTTCCTATGTTGGTTCTTTGATTCATAGGATTGGATCCCATAGGAATTTTTCCTATGGAATCTTTTGTATTACATTTCATAGGAAATCTAACATCCACTCCAACCTCTTTTTACAATTCCTTTGCTTTTCCTGTGCCATCAAACACTCCATGCTAATCCTGTAGGATTCATGTGTGCATGCCACTCCAATCCTATACTTTTCCTATTCCTACGATTTGAAAATCCTGCGAATCAAAGAAGGCCTTAGTTTCACTTTACTTCCCGTCACCCCAAACTCTTCTGAAGCCACCTTTAGAACGGAAGTCGCCATCGTCATCCACATATTGTTTGCATCACCTCCTTCCTCCCAAGGGCCCTCCTTAATAACCCTGTCCTTGAAAGCCTGAGCCGCATCCCCTTGAGTTTCCACTACTTTCTAAGTTTTTTTTAAAGCCGGGTGGGCATATAATGATTATGGTGGCGCACTAACCACCAGATATGCCATATACACTGCACAACATAACTGTAATTGGGCATTATATACAAGTTTATTGGTTGGAGAGCCCTTGATGGTTTGGTGGTTTTCTTGTAGGAATATAAATTTACTCCATCAACAGTTGCTATTGATGTCAATTCTGGGGAGTCTAGAGCGGTTGAGTTCCGTGCAACCCGTGTTGCCTTCAGGTTTGTTTGATTTTTAACATACGTAATTTGATTTGTATGCATGTTCTAATTTGTTCCCATCTTTTGCCATCTATCGAAAGAAACCACCTCGCAGTCTGCAGATAATTCATGCACATATATTTGTTTGCATAGATTTCCTTTTTGGAGTCCAATCATTTGAGTATCAATTAGGCTATGTAATGCTCACGAGATGATAACATATATACCATTGAGAAATTTTCCAGTTCTAAAGAGGCCACTCAAATAATCATGGTTATGCCCTCATATGTAGCTGTATGCAGATAATAGGAGTAATACATTTAATATTACTAGTGTTATTCTGGGAAATGTAACTTTTATACTCTGTATGAGTGCTGAAGTGCAGCAGTGGACCTACCACTAATGTTTTCGAAATTATGTTTCCTGCATGATTCCCACATGACGCGAATGTGCTCATGAAGTTCTAATCAATATAGCAGTTCTGGCACACGCTTTTTCACTAAACCAATTTTATGCTACTAACTAAACCTGCTTTTCAATGTAGTGCCATGGGTTCTGTTACACTGTTAACTGGCCAACCAAAGGAAGGTGTTTTTGTTGAAGCTAGATCTGAATCAAGAGGTTATTATGAGGAAGCTACTACAGATTCTTTTGGTAGGTTCCGCTTGAGAGGACTTATCCCTGGCTCATCTTACTCAATAAGAGTAGTTGCAAAAGATAATCTCAGGTTGGCAGCAGTTGAGCGTGCTTCACCAGAATCTGTATCAGTTGATGTAAGTCACTCTTGATGTCCTTTGCGCGCATTTACGTACTGCAATCTTGTCACTAATGACAGAGGCACTGCTCTTTTTTTTAATCAGGTCGATGAGGAGGACATCTCTGGTATTGGTTTTGTGGTTTTTGAACGCCCAGAAGCAACAATTTTGAGCTGTCACGTGGAAGGAAATGACATTGATATGTTGCAGCCACATTTATCTGTTGAAATTAGATCAGCTGTTGACCCTTCTAGAATAGAATCTGTAGTTCCTGTTCCTCTTTCCTACCACGTCGAAGTAAGAAATTTACCCAAAGGAAAGCATTTTGTTCAGCTTCGGTCTGGCCTTCCATCACATACCCATATATTTGAATCTGAGTTGGTTGAAGTTGACCTAGAAAAGCAACCTCAGATTCATGTTGGTCCTCTTAAATATAAAACGGAAGAGCGGCATCACAAACAGGTAACCTTTTTCATGCACTTGTGTCAGCATTGCATCACAATGACATATACTTTATTTGTTTGTCTTCTCAAACTGGGAAATTTGAGGTAAGAATTGAAGAAATTAGCTTTTTGAAACCATTCCTTTGCCTGTCTGCAAATGAATGATACAGTAGAAAATTTCAAGGTTTTATTTAACCAGAACCAAGATATCTTTGTACTCCATGCATTTATATGTTTTGTTGTTGGAAAATCTTTAACGTGTTCCTAAATTTTGTGTTTATGTACTCCCTCCGTTTTATTTATTCCGCGTATTAGCTTTGGTCAAAGTCAAGCTTTGTAAACTTTGACAAAGTTTCTAAACAAAAATATTAACCTATTCAATAACAAATCAACACTATTAGATTTATTATAGAATGTACTTTCACATAATATAGATTTGTTATGATAAATGTCTATATTGTTTTCTATATACTTGGTCAAACTTTACTAAGTTTGACTTCAGTCAACTCTAATATGCAGAGTAAATAAAAACGGAGGGAGTATCATCTAATTGCTATCTCTTGCAGGAACTGACCCCAGCCCCAGTTTTTCCTCTTATTGTTGGAGTTTCTGTTGTTACAGTCGTGATCAGTATGCCAAGGTTGGTTGCTATATCATGACCAGCCTCTTTGTGTAAACTTAAGTAATCATGGTTGTAGGAACTGCTTTTATATGATATCATGATGCTATAGGTTGAAGGACTTGTACCAAAGCGCTGTAGGAATGACTTCCCTAGGTTCAGGAAACACACCGAGCAGAAAGGAACCACGCAAGACAATATTGAGAAAGAGAGCCTGAAACATATGATCCTGATTAGGTGTGGAGAATTTGAACTTACACATCAGGATTACAAATGTAGCTGTTTCCTTTCTTCCCAATGGGTAATTTTGCAGATGCGGAAGCTAATAGTTAATAGTTTGTACCATTGTTGACTAATACAAATTTCGTCTCATTGTTGGTCATTGAGAATGTAGTATTATACTCCCTCTGCCTGAATTACTTGTCTAGATAGGAATGACTTCCCTAAGTTGAAACACATGGAGCAGAAAGGAACCACGGAAGACAATATTGAGAAAGAGAGCCTGAAACATATGATCCTGATTAGGTGTGGAAAAATTTGAACTTGCACGTCAGGATTAGAAAGTACGTATTCCCTCCGTCCGGAAATACTTGTTGGAAAAATGGATGTATCTAGATGTATTTTAGTTTTAGATACATCCATTTTTATCCATTTGTGTGACAAGTAATTCCGGACAGAGGAAGTAGCTGTTTACTTTTACTTTCTTCCTAATGGGTATTTTGCAGATGAGGCTAACAGTTTTTTTTTTGAGGAAAGGAAGCTAACAGTTAATACAGTGATCTAAACACTTATATTTCTTTACGGGGGAGTGTCATTGTTGACTAACACAAATTTTGTCTCATTGTTTGTCATTGGAAATGTCATACGATGGTAGTATTATACTCCATCCGAATTACTTGTCTAGATATGGATGTATCTGGTTTTACACAAATTTAAAACAAATAATTTGGGATGGAGGTAATATAATTTTGAGAGCCTGGTGTTTGATTTCCGGTAGCAAGAGGAAAGAACTGCAGTGTCATTGTTTACAGTTCTAGAAATACTATGATAGGTGTTTGATTTCCGGTAGCAAGAGGAAAGAACTGCAGTGTCATTGTTGACCGTTCTAGAAATACTACGATATCAGTGGCTGATTGTTTCGTTTTGTGGGCATCAAAGAACAACTTGCTGTATTCAAAAAAAAAAATCACATTGCTACGTTTCTGTTGGGCGTCGCATGTACACATACATATAAAGAGAGAGCTCCTATGATGTTGACATCTGCGCCAAGTTTCAAGCAGGCCCATGTATCGGTGGTGGAACGGCACCCCCTCGGCAGGGGATCCTCGTCACGGAAATTCCTATTCGCTGCTCGTTGCGGCAAGTAGTCGACCGGATGCACAGGGGGAGGTTGACCGTTTGAGTCCGGTTTTGGGAATCTTCTAGGTGGTTTTCAGCCGGTATTTTTTTGGTTTTGGGAACCTTATAGGAGGTTCATGAACCGTTTTTTCTATTTCCCTTTTTTTCCCTTTTGTTTCTTTTTCTTTTCTATTTCATTTCCTTTTTCGTTTAAATTTTTTATTTAATTTTCTGTTTTCTTGTCTTTTTTCGCTCTTTCGTTTTTTATTTTATTTTGTTTGAGAATATCCAGTATCTATTCGGAATTTTATAACATGTTCTTGTTTTCAAAATTTGTTCTGAATTTCAAAAAATGTTCCCGTTTTCAAATTTTGTTTACAATTTTAAAAAACGTCCATGTTTCAAAAAGTCTTTCAAGAATCTCAAAAAATGTTCTTGTTTTAAATTTTGTTTACAATTTCAAAAAATATTCATGTTTTCAAAAATGTTCAGTCAATTCAAAAAAATGTTCTCGTTTTCAAATGTTTTCTCATGTTCATGTTTTCAAAAATGTTCAAGAATTTTATAAAATGTTCCCGTTTTCAAATTTTGTTCACAATTTCAAAAAATGCTCTTGTTCTAAAATTTGTTCACAATTTCAGAAAATGTTCGTGTTTTTCAAAAAATGTTCAGTAATTCCAAAAAATGTTCTCGTTTTCAAATGGTTGTTATGTTCATATTTTGGAAAAAATGTTCTCTTTATAAAAATCTCTTTAGAATGACATTCATACAAAATTTATGTTTTAGAAAATGTACAGGAATTTCAAAATATGTTCTCACTTCCAAAAATTTGCTCACAACTTCAGAAAAAGTTTCGTGTTCAAAAAAATGTTCATGTTTTCATTTTTTCTGGAGTTTCAAAAAATGTCCCACTTTCATAAATTGTTTTCTAGTTTCAAAAAACGTTTGTGGTTTCAAATATTGCTTAGGAATTTCAATGTTCGCGTCTCCAAATTTTGTTTTGGAATTTGGAAAAATGTTGCCGTTCCAAGAAATCTTCATGATTTTCATAAAAGGTTCCTGTTTTTTGGAAAACAGTTCCAAAAAAATTGTTCAGAAATTTGGAAAGACTTGGTGTTTCGTAGAACATTCCGTCTTTTGATTTAAAATGTTTGGAACGTCAAATTTTGTTAATTCTTTTGCAATACGTTTGTGGTTTCAAAATTAATTCCTTTTTGTTAAAAATAATTTTTTAAAAATGTGCTCTAATATTTTGAAAAATTGTTCCAAAGTAAAAATAACCCCTTCACCAAATTTGTTCTTATTTTACTATTTTTGTCAAAATCTGTTTGAAATTCCAATTTTTTGCTTGTTTTTCAAACACTATTTTGGAATGTCAAATTCTGTTTACATTTCTTCAAAAATTCTTTCGCGTGTTTTCGAAATTTGTTCAATTTTTCAAAAATATATATGCTACTGTACATGTCAGAAAATAACATCCAAGTGGGAATAATGCGCAAAGGTAAGCTGCTAAATACGTTTGCGATGCGATTTTGTTCACATGTGGTCATTTAGTCTAGTGGTACGCAGCGCTCTGGAGCAGAGCGACGTTCCGTGCTCGAATCCTGGTGGCATCTCTTTTTATTTTTTGATTTTTACTGCTTTTAACTATTGGCGGTCTGTCTTAGTGGGCCGGCCCAGCCACACCGCTCCTGTGTGCGTCGCGCTCCATATTCGCCGCAGAATGCGGCGAATGGGAGGTCCCCCTCGTCTCGCATATACTACATCTAATCTTTGTCAATCTCATTAGAGTCTAGTCTTGGACATGATGATCTCCCTGTGTATCCATATATTGGCATTGGATGCCCATGAATATACGACGTGTTTTGCAGCCTATTGTCTCCATATTGTATCAGCCTAACCTGATAGCGCCGCCACTGCCGCTATCTTATCTCGCTGTGCTGTTGCTGCTTCCCTGAAGCCGCATCGTTGCATCGCTACTCTCGTCGCTGCATTGCGGCACTCGCCACTCCATTGCTATGCCCCGCGCTGCCTTGCTAGCTGTAGGCTCACGTGCTGCCTTCTGCTTGCCTGTGCGTGCCACTGCATCGTTATTGTTGTTCGCCCGCTCGATGCATTGCTCCTGCTGCCGCTGCATTGTTATCGCCGCTGCATCGCTATGCCCGCGCACTACATTGCTATGTCGTGCGCTGCCTCGCTAGCCGCGCTCGATGCATTGCTCCTGCTGCCGCTGCATTGTTATCGCCGCTGCATCGCTATGCGCGCGCACTACATTGCTATGTCGTGCGCTGCCTCGCTAGCCGATCACTAGGGCAACATCACTCCTCCCGATCGCGCCGCCTCCCTCTTTCGGCCGTGTCACTACCTTCTCCCACATCCTACGCCCAACCCTAGCCGTATCATCTCCCCCGCTTCCGCTTCCATGACTTTCTGCCAAACTCTTCTCTCTTTGGCCCTAGCAACCCATGTGCCTCCCGACCTGGGAGTAGCAACCCCTTCAACGGTCGCTTGGCTGTGGTCATTTGTGATGTTTCGATATTCTAGCGCGTCCTGGTGAAGCTCTTCCACTCAGAGGCCAACTTCTACTCGTGGAAGACATACTTTGATCTTCTCTTCCGCGAGTATGATTTCCACGACCACATCGATGGGAAGGCCGATCTCCTGGCACTGCTTCACGACGTCGAGTGGACGGCCAGCGCCGGCACCATCATCTGGTGGTTCTTCCTCACCGTCTCCAAAGAGATTTTTCACACCGTCATTCATGATGGTGACACTACGCATACGGTGTGGACCAAAAATCACTGGCCTCCTCATCGACAATAGGCTGCAGCGCATCGTATTTCTTTAGGAGTTTTTTTGGTTTACATGCGTGTCAAAACTCTTGTTGATGAGTTGCGAGACTTAGAGTTTGAGGTATCCGATGAGCTCCTCCTCTCCATGCTGACAACCGGTCTCAGTGAGGTCCTTAGCAACGCCGCCTTCAAAATACTGCTGACCATGCCGTCCTTCGAGAAGGTTGTGGCGTACCTTCACCTTGAGGAGCGCCGGTTGAAGCAGTTGCGCTCTCACGTGGTTCACACCGCATTCGCCGCTGGTCTCTCCCGCGGCCCCCTGCTACGCCACCTACGGCGCCACAGTCGTAACCTCCGGTGCCCCCCGTGCACTACCCGCCTCAATCAGCACCCATTGGGCAGGCGCCTCCAGACCACAACCTCCAGCTTCGGGGCGCCTCTAGACCGCAACCTCCAGCATCGGGGCAACCACGGGGGCAATGATGGTTAGCACAATGGCGGTAACCGTAGGAAGCCGCGCATCACCCTGCAGCACCAGCCGACTCCGCAGTGGACCACGGGTCACAACCAATACATGGGTTGTGCACGCGTACACCATGTTGGTGCCGCACACCCCTATCTCGGGTCTCTTCGGGCCTCGTTCGGCCATGCACCAAGTGTTTCTCATGACGCCTCAGTCCAGTGCGCCGCCCGCCTATGCCGCTGTGCCCGTCTACTTTGGCAATGTGAATTTAGGTTCAAAACGATCAATATCACATGACGAAGTTCAAGTGTTTTCTCTTCAAGAGAATAGAGCATAATTGTAGGATTATATGGATATCAGTGCTTTTATTCAATTTTCGAGGCACTCTTCAATGATTGAGGAGATTCCCGAGGCAGTCTTAATGCTAGCGTCAGGGTCACCACCCTACTGTAACCCTTCCGCACTTACTTCAAAACTTAGTGTGTGTTCATTTTCTTTCTCGTGATAATTCTGAAAACTGTGGAATTTGATGAATTCGGTTTTTCTGTTAAGGATGCTCATACTTGGACGGTCCTCCACTGATGTGACAGCCCCAGAGATTTGTACCTCGTCCAACCACCTTCACCATCATCATCTTCCGCTGGACCTATTGCTCTCTCTGCCAGCATTGACCTCTAGCACGCATGCGTTGACCACCCTAGCTCCACCACTTTTCATAAAAAAGTGCGACGATTTTCCTCTTCCTATAATAAAGCGGAT